TGCCATCACGCCTTTATTTTTTTTAGGTGAAAGCCACACAGTATTCACTTTCCACACCCCACATCACAGCTGGCCTTTTGGTGTCTGGTCCCCTTCCCCTGGGGATGAGCGGGAAGCGCCTAGCACATGGCATCCGAGCAGCTCAGCAGGCAGCCAGCACAAAGCCCCGGGAGCTCATCTGTCCGATGAAATCATCTCGCGGTGTGAGGATCCTTGCAGTTGAAACTGAAAAGTTATTTATTTCTCCTCTAAAGGGGAAAAACAGCTCGTCGTGGAGGCTGTTTGTCCTCTGGGGCAGTAATCTCACCTTTGCCAGCTTTCGTGTCTCTGCGCGCTGGCTGGGAGCGGGGAGATGCTCTGGCAGGCAGGATGGATGGAGCAGCGCTGATTCCCTCCTGCCCACAGCCTCCCTCCGCTGAGCCACGTACATCAAGGGCAGAGGCCGGGCACCAGCATGAATTGTTCCTCTCCATGGGATATATTTTCCCAGTGTTCACAACAGCGTTGCTCAAAGCAGCTCTTTCTCCACTGCATCCAGCTAGCGGTGCAGAGGCTGCTTCTGGGTCCTATCCCCCTGAGGCACCAAACTGCTTGGAGAGGAGCCCCAGCTGAGATGTCCTGCACCCTCCCCGACAGCCCCAGGGACAGCAGTTCTCATCATCCAAAGGGATTATGAAGGTTGCATATGTTCCCCAAGTGCTCTGAAGGGACATCATGGCCTCCAAGGTCCTTTCCCCTCCCAGGTGTCAGCATGTCCTCTTCAAGGGCTCTGATGGTCCCCATCAGGCTCTGCAGCTCATCAAGAGGCTTTTCCATAGGAACGCTCACCCTGCTCACTCTGGATGGGACGCAAGACCAGTTTAATATCACCCAGGGAATGGTTTTACCGCTATTCTCATTCTGTACTGCCCTTTCACTTATCGATGGTGGACTACTTCCAGACATCCCCTGCATGGCCTAATCCTGCTCCTACTGCAGTCCGTGAAAGACACACCGCTGACTTGGGCCAGTGCTCAATGCTTTGCACATCCCACCTTGACAGGGCACTGGGTTTCTGAGAATGTTAAATCAGCTGCTCTGCTAGAAGAAAGCAATCATCTCCGAGCAAGTGATAGCTGCAGGAGCTGCCCAGGGCCAGCCTGTGCTTCACACCAGCAGAACTGCTCTCCTGGTCCTCAGAGACTCACATGGAAACTTGACTTGGTGTAGACGTGGCTCAGGCTGAGCTGATACCACACAGGACTATTTAGCAAGTTCTGGGAAACTGGGAATCTGGGAAACACTGAAGGAAACCCTTGTGGGTGGCACATACAGGTTTCTTATCTCACTTGGATGTTACTTGTTTGCTCAGAATTAAGTAGTCCTAAGTAGGGCTGCTCACTTTGTGAAGGGTAGAAGGGGCTCCTGCTTCAGGGCCAGGGCTCCTACACCCCAGAATAACAAAAACCAGCATTTGATAGCGACAACACATCTGTTCAGAGATGTGGATGCCGTTGCATCACCGTCGGGCTTCAAACCTCAAAGAAACGTCTCATCCCATGGCCAGAAGCACCGGTGTGCCAACAGGGCTGAGTTTCCACTAGAGGGTTGTAGTGCTGTACGGAAGCAGACACGGTTGTTGTGGCAGGAATATTTTACCTACTCCAGGCCTTTGTCAGCAGATCAAAAGCACCCTGCCATAGCCCGGCTTCCAGCGGTCTCTACAGTCTCTGATGTACGCAGCCTGCAAGCTGCGAGAGGGCTGGTGCCTGAGCAACCCGCTTCCCTGCCTTCCCAGGAAAGCCTCTAGTATTCACATGACTCAGCATCTACTATATATATTTATATATACACACACATAGATACAGCAAGTAAACACACTGTGTCTATGCGTATACACATGGAGACAACATGTTTATTTGTGTACCTGGGATTTCGATGCACGAACAGGCACGCGGCGTGGTGGTGGCACACCGTCGTGAGGAGCCAGGGTGTCGCTGGTAGAGCGGAGCCCACCGCCCAGCAGCACGGAGAGCGGGGCAATTAGCAGCACCAGCGCAATCAGCAGGATGGGACAGGGATAGCTGTTCACACGCAGCCCTGGCTCCAGCCCAGGAGCTGCTGCACCATGTCCTGCACCAAACATGGGTGCTGGTCCCCGGAGCTCGCAAGCCAGCCTTGAAAAGCAGCCATCAGAGGGGACTGCCACATCTGCCATCAGACTTGTCCCCAAGTCCAACGCAGCTCAGTAGGTCCTAGGGAGCTCATGCGCATGTGACCTCAGTATGTGCTCGTACATCTTTTACACTAGCATATATATTTTTGCAGGTGGATCTATAGAATCATAGAAGTGTTTGGGTTGGAAGGGTCCTTTAAAGGTCATCTAGTCCAACCCCCCTGCAATGAGCCTAGGTTTCTGGCTTTCTGAGTAGCTGGTGTGCAAAGTGCCGGCAACTGTATTGCCCAGATATGGGTGATTTTACCACTGAAAACAAGAAGTGGGGTTGTCTAACACAATGGGGAAAGCCCAAATAGCACTGACATTGCCCTCCTTTCATAGAAAGAGTGGGAAGGCAAATGCAGCCGCAAGGCTTGCCTGTAACGTGGAAAACACAGCGTGACGCTCCCAGAGAATTTACATAGCAATCGAGTTATGTACCATGTGTTTGTCTGATCTTATCACCATTTCCAGTTATAGACAGATGGCAAATAGATTTTGCCTACATTTTCATCTCTTTTGTTATCAGAAAAGCTTTGAGGAAGTAAGTGGGAGATATTCTTGCAAAATAAATGATTACAGCAAAAGATGTGCCTTAGCTCCCTCAGAAGATGACCTGACCTTACCTAAATACATCTGTGTAGAAATCAACCATTGAGTCAACAGAGAGACATGAGACTGCTGGAATAGATTATCTGACCCAAAATGGACATTTCAGTCCTCTGCCCTTTATAGCTGGTTGGTGGACTGCCCCTTCTCATGCTAGCAGGAGACATCAGAAGGAGGTCAAGTGAGCTGCTTCTTACTATAGAATCATAGAATGGTTAGGGTTGGAAGGGACCTTAAAGATCATCTAGTTCCATGGGCAGGGAAAACCTCCCCTACACCAGGTTGCCCAAAGCTTCATCCAACCTGGCCTTGAACACTGCCAGGGATGGGGCATCGACAACTTCTCTGGGCAACCTGTTCCAGTACCTCACCACCCTCAATGTAAAGAATTTCTTTCTTGTATCTAACCTAAATCTGTCCTCTTTCAGTAAGAGGACTGGCCTAACCTAAATCTGCCCTCTTTCAGTATAGAGGACAAAACGGTGCCAGGGGAGACTCATCCAGCTGGGGAGACCTGCAGAGTGGACACATAGGGTTGGGAGAGCTACCTCCCACAAGTTATGGTCTCCATAAACAAATCTCCGACCTCAGCAAGACCAGACTGGTTGGAGAGCAGAGATTGTGATGCTGGCGAAGCATCTCTTCTGAACCCAGTAACGGTGGTGGCAGCATGAACCTTTACTGATACCAGCGATGCAGAAGAGCTCATCTGGTAGCTCCAGACCAGAGGGCTTACCCCTCACCTCCTGAGGTTCTGCCACCCCTTGGTGGGCTGAGCCATAGGGCAAAGGGGTGGTGGTGGCCACCAAGGACAAGTGGCTGCCGGTGAGCTATGGACAGAGAGGACGGCAGAGCATCATGGTTGTGAAGCAGGGTTTGGAGTGTGTTGTGGTGATTTGGGAAGGAGGAGAGGGAAGGAACGTAAGAGCTGTGCCCAGGAATAAGGTGTTTTAGCAGTTATAGGTTAGGAGGTTAGATTATATATTTTTTAATTACCTATTCTAACCAGTAAGAACATTTATTAACTAATCATCATGCAATAAATACTAATCTTTCACATCTAAAATTCCTGTAGAAGATGATAAGAAAAAAAAAAGGGTGTGTGTTATTTTGGCAGCGTGAATGGTCAGTGCAAAGAGGAGCTGTGCACAAGCACCTCTGCTCCATCGGGCAGCAGCAAAACCCACCAGCCTTGGTGTGGTACAAAGGCGGGCAGCTTTCTGCGCCTGCCCTTGCCAACAGCTCTGCGAACCCTCTTCTCACATAGCGAGGAGCCTCCGTCCCTCCCAAAGGAGTCATAAAATACATCTTTATCTGCCCTGCATGCGGTAATCAGACAGGCTTAAGAGCTTAAGCGCTCATAGGGTAGCAATGTTTAAACAGATTGCGCAGAACGCCTGTTCACCTGCCTCGGTCCGCTTCCCTAATCAAACTGCTCGTAGGGGCACATGGTTAGTGATGGAGGCAGAAAATGGAACTTGCTAATAGAGGGGGAGTTGTTAAACGGGCATCCTTGCGAGGCTGTGCTCACACAAAGAGCCCGGCGCGGCTCCCCTTGCTCCGCTCGCCAGCTGGCTGACGAGCCGTGGAGTATCAGCATCACGCACCAGGCAAAGGAGATGGGAGCAAACAGATTTCATCCTTCTAGACGGTTTTATTAAACACAGCCAAGCAAAACAAAACCAACCCCACTGTCAACACACTAGATCCTCGTTTGAGCAAGACCCCTTTCCACAGCTCGGGGAGAACAAAAAGGCTGAAGTGGAAATGAGATCAGCGTGGGGAGCGGTACGCACATGAATGTTTATCAAGGAAGACCAGACGGGGCCAATTTGCCACCCTCCTGCAGCAGCGGGAGCTTGGTCATCAACAAGAGGGAGGGGAAGGGCAGGCGAAGGGGCTGGCCTGTGCCTTTGCATGGGTAGAGGCATGTGAGATGCTGGCGAAAGGCGTGCGGGATGCTGGGAAGGACCCATTCGTCAGGAAGGATGCTGAGAGGCTCCTGGGTTTTGGGACAAAAGCTAAGTACAACGCAGTTATGAAGCAAGCATACAACGTCCCTTCCAGTCACGCAATCAGCTTGCAAGCTGCAGTTTGGGGAAAAAACTCTAAAGAATGAACTGGAAGTTGTTATCATTCCTTGGGTGCGCTGAGTGCTCATGATAAATCTTTTTCCTGAAGGAAAAAGCAAGGTTAAATCAAAGCACAAAGCCCATCAAGCATGAGATTTACAGTGATCTAAAAGGGTTAGAGGTTCATTTCTTAAGCAGTTGAATTATGGCTGTTTCTGGGTATTGATACATTCAGCACGCTGACCCTCTCAGTGCTGCAGCGAGCTAGGGGATGAGCAGCAACGGAGAGATTGCGCTGGTCATCGTTTTTATGTACATTTCAAAGTCACTTCCGAAAAAGAAGATGAGATAGTAGTTGAGTATTCCAGCGACAGACATGAGGAACAGGAACAAAATGATGCGTTTTCCAAACAAGTAACCAGGAGTGCTGAGGAGATAGAAAGAGGGGAAAGCAAATCATCAATGTATGTCACCTCACACTAGAAGTCCTCAGACTTTGGACTCTGCTGTAGACATCAGCTGAAACACCTCGGGTGCTGAGATGGAGGGGGCAAATTTCTGCTCTGCCCGGCATTGTTGCTACGGCCAGCTGTGGGCTCTTACATGCCATTTTCAGGATCTTCTTGGGTCTGGATTTGGCCTCCTGCGCTCAGTGTAGGCTGTTACTTACAAAAGTGGCTATGCAGGGGGACCCGTGTGTCTTCTCAGCCACCAAAGGCTGTGGGACAATCTTGTTCCACACGTACATAATAATTGTTGTCAATATAAAAGGAGGATCTTGTGCAAATAGCGGCACAAACACACAAATGTGTGCATTGGTGGAGGCGGTGAGCAGGAGCTGCTGAAGCAGCTGCTCTGTTCCTGCAGCTCCCCGACCCCCGGTGCCACCGCACCTCCCACATCCGAATTCATGAACAGGCTCCTTACCTCTGAGTTCTCTCTCCGAGGTAGCCCACAAAGTACTTCTGCCTCACAAACAAGTACATCAGTCCAGCAAAGGCGGCAGGAGCTGGGGAAAGGGAAAAACAAGGTGTTACAAACGTTGTCCTGAGTCTCACTGTCCCCACTGTCCCCATCTGCTGCCTGGGCTGGACCAGCGTACGGGAACCTGCACCTTTGAGCTATGGGACAGTCACTGGAAGCAGGACAGAGACCTTAGCGTGGGGAACAGTGCACTTTCCTTGCTCTCACACTGGCTTTTCTGAAGACTTTGTGGGTGTAATCCTGCCTGCAGCTGTGCCCGCTGCAGAAACCCAGGGTGGGTCATGCTAGGCTCAGGAGGGAGGGTGCCAGCTTGGGCATTGCCTTCACCAGAAACAAAAGGCAGATGACAGATGCAGTTCTCTAGGAGCAGGTGGAGGAGTATACTATGGTCCAATACTCATTTCTGAACACACAAAAAGAGTTTTTTCCCCTTTTTCCCCTAATTCTAGCTTTCCCCACACCTCCAGGTGGAAGCTCCTCTTCTAATCAAGAAATTCCTCTTTTGTAGAAAGAATTGCCATGGACACCAGGAAAGTTCTCATTGTAACTTTAGGTAACTGCATTGAAGGGGATCATATTTGGAAATGCAGGTAAATACATCTGGACTGCCCTCAGTGCTGCGAAGGGCTGGCAGCTCTGGTAATTTAATCAAATGAGCTCATTTGCAGTCTTGAAGGAGAATAATGCGGCATCTAGCATCCAAGTACTAAACTCTTCACTCAAAACAGAGGGATCTCATCTGTAATGCCTTTATGGGAAATGTCCCTGGCCTGGACTGTCCTGAATGGTGTCTGGGAACACATCTGTTGGCATAAACCGTGCCAGGGAGTGAGCTGCTGATTGAACAGCACAGGCAGCTGCAGGACAGCGGGTGAGACTGGTTCCTCCGCTGCGAGAGAATTTGGCCCCTGGAAGCATAACCTCCAAAGTGCTTGCCATCCCTTGCTGAAAGTGGTGCAAGGTTGAAGGGGAAAAAACAAAAAAAAAAGAGTGTTACCTTGGCTGCAGAGAAGGCCAGCGCACCAAAGCACGGCCAGAAACGTTGGGTACGAGTGTCCGCAGTTCTGGCTAGAAAGGAATTTGTCAAGAGAGAAATCAGAACGTGTCGGAAATAGAAACAAAATCGATGCGTTTCATCAGCAAAGGATGGTGGTGAGTGAATTTGGGCTGCGCTAATGCCGCTGTGGGTGGGCTTTTACTGCAGAGCGGTGGGAAGCCCCTGACCGGCCTGTGGCTGCTCTGGGGCAGGTGGCTGCCGGGGGCTGGCTGGCGAGCCCGTGCCCGAACACCACGGCTGCCTCGCCTACAGGTCTGCTTCCCTGTTTCCTCACTTGGATAAAGGATGCCTTTGTCCTGTCTGACGAGGAAAAACCACCCCACGCACATGCCTGACACCTGTGAAAGTCCCTTGCCTCCTCTGACCTGTCCGATCATGGCACATCTACAATGGATGCTGTGTGCTTTATTGGCTTGGAGATGTCTTATAACTAAGTTGTGTTAATCAACTTAGTGGCATCGAAGGCTGCATGAAACCAAAAGAGGAAAATCACACAACAAGTAAGGATGTCTGACAGTTAACATTCTCTTTGCAGGGGAACAGGAATAATTTCCAGCTGCCTCCTTCGGCCGGGCATGCTTTCTGAGGGGGAAGAGCTCTGCCTTTGGGTAGAGGTTGCACACCTGTGAAGGGCAGCACTTGGATGTCCCATCCAGTTTCAAGCAATTAAAATATTTTATGTTCTTTTCTAGTCTGGGTCAGAATTAATTTTCCCTCTGCTCTCTCTGAAAGGATGTCAAAGACGAGAGGTATCGATGTGGTGGAAAAGGGGAGAGCCAAGTGCTGAGGGAGCTGCCGGGGACCGAGGGGTTTGTATGAGCTCTGCCACCGACCTGTTCCTCAGCAAGTTGACATCTCTCTGCCAGGTCTTCCCTTTTGAGCTGCAGTGTGCTTGGGACACTGGGTGTGCTACCTGCATTAGCTACTGCTGGGTGAATGGGCTCCCAAATGAAGGGACATAATACATATAAGGACTGCAAGTCAACAGAAATACAGCAACCGGTGTCCAGAAAGGAGATAGGTTAACCAGTAAAAATACCAGAGAACCATGGGTCTGAACGCCGCTGCAATGCTCAGAGCAATGGGACTGCAGAGCAAAGCCTGGACTGTAAAAGAGCTTGGATTAAACCCTAACGAAGAGAGAGATGAACCCCGCTCTGCCCCCACCCACTCCTCGGGGCTTGCCTACTCACTTGGCAGTGTAGACACGGTCGAAGGCAGAGGATCCTTGCCGCTGGAACCCCTTGCCATCGCAGTGTTTGCTTTCATACTTCACTTTGCTAGCAAAAAAAGCTGTCAAAAAACCACAAAGTGTTTGATCTGAGATGTAATTTGGAGATATTGCAGGAGCTGGGCTTTGTGGGCTCAGCTCTGCTCTCATGAGCATCCAGGCTGGAAGGCAGAAGAGAACTTAGGTGCATGGAGGTGCAGGATGTGGTCAGCATGCTCACTCTGTCACCGTGGCATAACCAAACCCTCTGTGCAAGGGCACAGTGCGATGTGACCTCAGATATGCCCACATGTTTGTACGTGACTGGCAGCAGGGCTCTCACTACTGAGCCCTGCTTCATAGAATCATGGAAGCATAGAATGGCTTGGGTTGGAAAAGACTTTAAAGATCATCTAGTTCCAACCCCCCTGCCATGGGCAGGGAAACTCTCCACTACACCAGGTTGCTCAAAGCCTCAACCAACCTGGCCTTGAACACTTCCAGGGATGGGGCATCCACAACTTCTCTGGGCAAACTGTTCCAGTGCCTCGCCACCCTCAGAGGGAAGAATTTCTTCCTTACATCTAATCTAAATCTACTCTCTTTCATCCTCGCCCTACCCCATGAACAGCCTGCACCTCTGTCTGCTACTGCTGTGATCCAGCCTGGACTCCATCCTTTGTGACCCCAGCAGGGAAAAAGCTTTCTAGTCGGAGCTGCCAAACCCAATTCTCACTTTCTGATAGAGCAGGGAGATAAGGGAGCCTCTTCTCTTTCAGTGACACCCATTTGCCAAACCAAGGACATCTTGAAGAGCTGGTTCGTTTCCAGAAAGCCCATTGAAAACGTGGTCCTGATGGTTGATGTCTGTGTGTCCATCTTCTGTGTACTCTCCTTTTAAGTGACAGTGTTGTGCCAGAGTGTTAGCTGCTGCAAAAAATGCAGCACCTCAAGATAACATATCATGGGCTTGACAAACACGTTTTATCTGATGACACTAAACCAGGGACCATCAATCACGTGTCTAAATGCACCAGACAGAGCCCTGACAGGCGACAAGCTGCAAGCTTTGTATTGCTGTGCCTCCCATCTCAGTCTACTCACATCACTCAATGGTTTAGAATATTGGCCGAAAATATATAGATATAAAAGATAACCCATCAGGAAAAGACATTATTATCACACTAACCGAAAAAGCTGCAGGATTTCATCCCTGGAATTTAAAGATTTACTTCTTTTTTCCCCTCACTGATGCTGTAAGTAGATCTTCTGTACTTCCATCACTTTCACTAAAAGCTACTGATTTTTTTGCCTTCCAACATCAAGTGATCCCCTGGGTACACACAGCCTTTCTCCAGAAAAACCTGCAGTGCTTTAAGCCAGCATCCCTGCTCTGAGCCTGGCTGCAGACCCTCCCACTGCCACCAGTGCCATGCACTGGCTGCCTCCTGGAGAACCTGGCCTGGAGGACCCAGAGCAGACATCCCAGCCACCAAGAACTCCCGGCATCTCCACCCGCACACCACCCTGGCCTTTGGCATCACGTTATTAACCTGCCTACGGGATCTAAGAGGACCTAGTTGAAGAGGACTAGGTTGGATGGCAATGTTTTGTACAGTGCAAAGCTGCTGTGATGGAAAACCACTTTGTGCAGGTCTGGGAACACATGGGCTCAGTGGGATGTGCAGCATACTTCCTCCCTTCCTTTTAACATGTATGTGAAATCACTAGAAGATGCCACAGCTTCAGAGAAAGCCAAGAGTAAGCTATATATATCTCACTCTCCGCTGCCGCAGGTGCTGCCACTTCCCAAATGCCAGTGTGCCGCTGCAGACAGGCTCCATGATGCAGAGAGCCATCAGGCTGAACACAGACACGTCCAACGTGATGGTGGTCACTGAGGACAAGAGCTTGGAGATGCCAGTGGTGACACTCCTGGTGCACAGTTTCTGGGATCAGGGCTGGGTAGACATCGGGGTGCTGGGTCAACATCGGGGTGGTGGGTCTCCTGGGAAAGATCTGGTTGCGGAGGTCCAGGCATCTCTCCTGGAAGCTCTTGCTGTCTCTGATGTGGTGTATGGATACTTGGTCAACGGACTGGACATTAGGGCAAAGGACAGAGACCATGTACACCCGCACCATGGATGAGGAACAGGCTTTGTCTCACCTCACTTCAGAGACACTGAGAAGTGTTAGGGAGATGGATGTTTTCCTTCTGTAAACAGTGTGTGACAGAGGGAAACAGAGGAAAGGCACCTCCAGAGGTGAATTCATCCATCAGACTGCTACTGGCATGAGAGAAACCACCTCACTAAAGTGCTGATCTTTCTCCATTGACTCAAGAAAGAGCTTAGATAACTGCCTCACATGAGATGTCCACCTCTCCACTAGAGAAAATGCCTGGGTTGATCACCTCCAACCTATTGCAGCAGCTGTATTTCCTCAGGACCACGTGGACCCCCAAGGAGAGGGCAGTGAAATGGAAGGGAACTCCGCATCTCACCATCATATGGAGAGTTAAAGCCTCCTGCTTCAAGTGAGCTTTTCACCCTGGAGGTGGCTCCCCAGTTCTGTGGCTCCTTAGCCCTGCCAACATCACACGCCCTGCAGGCTCCCAAAATGTCTCCAGAGGGCAGCCCAAGAGGTAGGTCCCGGCTGCTCGAGGCCCAGCCAGGCTGACCTTCTGCAAAGGATGGGAGCAGAGCAAACTGATCACACCCAGAGTTGGTCCTGGCTGTAGGTTTGCACTCACATCACAGCGGCATTGTGGTTCTGTTAGCTCGGCACTGGGGAAACGGGAGACTACAGCGTGGAGTAGCTTGCAACACCATGGCTATAGTTCCTGCTCTTTACTCTGAACCTCAAGGCAGGAGGGCAGTTTCACAAGCCAGCACGAGATAAGTGAGTGGAGCAGGGCTGAAGAGTTTAACTCAGCTCAGCTGTGCCAGAAGATGATGTCCTGAGGCTGCCCTGAGCCTGAACC